CACCCGTAATCCCAATGCTTTGGGAAGCTGAGGTGGGAGAATTGCCAGGAATTTGAAACTAGCCTGGACAACACAGAAAAAAAATAGCTAGGTGTGGTGGCTGGCACCTGTAGTCCCAGCTACTTGGGAGGCTGAAGTGGAAGAATCACTTGAGCCAAGGAGTTAGAAGCTACAGTGAACTATGATGGCACCACTGCACTCTTACTTGGGCAACAGAGCATGACCTTGTCAAAAAACAATAACAAAAACAAAAATCCACAAGAAAATCTATCTTAGTCCCAATTCACCCACAAGAGACTATGTGTCTTCTGGGTATAGGGCTACTTCAGAGAGATAGTTAGGGTTGCCTGCTCATAAGTAGAACACAGCCCTTCCCTTGCCTTCCTCCTTGTATATACTTTACTTTGGGTCTTCAGTGCCCCCTATCAGCCTAGCCATCCTGACAGCACTTAAAACTAAGGACATTCCAGAGGTCTATTTTACCTGATAACTGTTAAAAGATAAATAAAGCAACTAGAACTGATTTGAAAGGCTGGCTCCTCCCTACGGCCTACAAAGACCAAGTCTACTACTTCTAGAACTGGGAATCTCATATAGGGGAAGGGAGTACTCAGAAATACCCCAGCAGCCTTTCTAAACTCCATAAATCCCACTTCCAGAGTTTCTGATTTGTCTCCTGGTTGAAATCCACCCTGCTTTGGTAACCCACTGATAATATATAGGAAAAGAGCTGAGACCCATCCTTGTAAGGGCAATCATCACCAAATGCCCACCTAATTCTAAGATTCTACTAGTTTCATCTTCCCCAAAGAAAACTAATCTTCAAGTTGAAAAATTTTTGCTAGCTCAAAAATGAATTCTAGTCTTCCTAACAACACTGCCAACTATCATAAAGAATATACAAACAGAGTTAGATAACACAGTTTAAAATACATGTACTTTTTCCAAGGTCAAAAAAAAAACAACCACCACTAAGGCATGCAGACCAAAACACCATCACCTTGGTGATCTCTCAAGCAAAAAATTCTATAGTAGGAAACCTTGAGATAATTAGCTGTTGCAGAACTCTAAAGCACATTACTTTCATTCATCTTCAGCACAAGAAACACCAATTAACCTGGTTCAGGGCATAAAGCAAATGGCATATGCTGAGCTTTGTCTTTATAGTGACTTTGAGGGCGACATGGTTGGCAAATAAACGAACAGTGTAAGACAGGGAACTGTCCTGCTTACAAAGGGCTCCGTGTCCTGTCCTTGAAAAGCTGCTGGGATATTTAAGGGCAGTCCTCATTCCAGTTTAATTCACACTTGCTATAGACAATCACACTGGGAAGTTCTCCAATCCATCCACTTCACTTAAAGGGCTTGCTTTCATTTGTGAAGATGACAGAAAGCTAAGGGTTTTTAAACCCTGATGAGTGCAACTCCCCCAAACACTTTCCAACATGAATAGAAACAACAACTGACTGGAACAGAGCAAATACTGATGTCAATAAGCAGGCATTCATTAACACTCTGGCCAAACAGCCTTTTCTGGGTAGCCAAGAATGGGGCCTGAGAAACACAAATTTAGTCAATCCTCAAGTCATTGATGAGCAAGTCAAGAGTATACCTAAAGAGGCCATTGTCATGCCAGCTCTGCTAAGCTCAGCCAGGCTGCTGAGACTTTTCTCTCCCCATCCTGGTAACAAAAACTCATCCTAATGTTAGCACAAATGAAAAGGCAATGTAATGCCAAGATGCATCATCTAATGTGTTCCAAAGCCCAAAGACTTCTGGCTTATCTGGGGTTCGCTGAGAAAATGTACCCTTCATTAGCATAAATGATTCCAAGTCAATAAAACAGTAAAGTCAGAACTTAAATTCACTGGATGTTACTGTAAAATCAGGAAGGAAAAGATAAAAGAACGTAATTTTCATCTCTCTACAGGTAAGAGTTGAAAAAAGGTTTTCCATTTATCAGCAGAGAGAGACTTAGCAAAACAAAATACATGAGCTCCGGGGCCAAGAGTGTTACAATCCTGAACGTAGAAGACTCAGTATTGCTAACCCTCTAATTAAAATTTTAAAAACAGATTTTAAAAATGTGGTACATATACATGATGGAATATTACACAGCCATAAAGAAGGACAAAATTATGAACTTCACAGTAACTTGGATGAATTTCAAGTCTATAATACTCAGTTATCTACCACAGAAACAGAGAACTGAGTGCCACATGTTCTCACTCATAAGTAAACCCTGAACAATTATCAAAATACTATTAGAAAGGGATTGGCAGTAGTGAGAAACTGCGGGGGGTGGGGGGAGGGCACACCTTGTCAGTAAGGCTACCTGATCTCAAACCAGGAGAAGTGGGGACCAAAGTGAGGCCCAAACTTTACCTGTACAATGACTATTTGTATACCTAACCCTGAATTGTACCCATCTTTAAAATAAAATTCAAAAAAATAAAAATAATTTACAAAATAACAAAAATGCCAATCAACTTATGTTGTCAAAGTTAAAGAATCTAAGCAAACACTGAAACCCTTAAACAATTTACTCTAAGTCTTTCCCTTTTTGCCTCCTGCAAACATCAAGGGGGCCACAGTCCTTAATCTCCTTGGTGAGACAGTAACTGCACTCCTCCTTGGAAACACTGCAACTGTCTAAATACTGACACCGTGCTCAGCCTCCATCTGCCAGACCATACAGCCTGTGATGCTTTTGTCTGTGTTTCAATGATAGGATCCTGTCCTTCCTGTATTCACTTGAGTTGTCTCTGTCTAGAGTTATTTAACTCTGTAATGTCTTTCTTAAGGTGTACAACCACAGCTACACTCCAGATCTATACACAGGTTACACTTTTGTTTCTATATTCTTTTCCCGCACAGTCGATCTTGGGAGGAAACCAACAACCCAACCAAGAAGAGTTTGTCCAGGCTAAAAACCTTTGATTCTCTGTAAGAGTGATAGAGTAAGGGATAACCTTATAGCACTACAAAGTCTGCTATGCACTCAGAAACAGGACATGATTTGTACTGCATTTCTCCAGCAAGGAGGAGGCACAAAAGGCACCACTTTACCTTTTGTAGAAATGGAAGCGCTCTGTGAGGAGCAGAAACTGCTTCTCTCCTTGAAGGAAGAAGTGTCTGGCCCTGGAGACACCAGACTTCTGGGTGTACTCGCAGATGTGGGTGAAGTTCAGTTCCTCCCTCTTGAAGTAATTTCGGAGACGCACAAAGTCAAAGTAGGACGGGATATAGATGAGTGTGTGAGACATGACTGCATCACGATACTGAGGCAAAATCTTGTTCACAAAAAAGTTAAACCTAATTTGGAAAGGCAAAGGGCAAAATTAATGTTCTAGAGTTGAGCATATGGTGTCTATTAACTGTGTGACCCTGGTCAAGTTACAATCTCATGTTAAAAGATTACCTTGCCAGAGCCCAATGTGACTTACCTGTTTTCAAAGAGATTATATAAGGATAGTAACACTAAAAAATGACAAGTGTACAAAAAATGTCAACACTACTCATCGCAAAAAATAGATGTAATGCCATTATATCCTAGGTGATTATTCTAGGAAGTATACACAACACCATTCATTCATTCATTTGATCAATCAACAACCAGCTGTTGAATCAGACAGAACATCTACTGTATACTAAGCCTGACACAATGAGGAAAAAAAGGGGGAAAATATCTACAGAATTAGAAAAAACAGTTCATGCCCTGAGGGGTTTACAAGTAAGTCATTGACATGAGACAGTCTATAGCACAAAGTAGCATAATGTAATTTTAAAATGCCACAGTCAAGAGGGAAGAAAGCCTGATTTATAATACTAACCCTGCCACTAACCATATATGACACCTAGGTCAAGTCACCATTTCTCCCTGGGCTTCAGTTTCCTCCTATCGAATGGCATGATTGAGTTCAGTGATCTCATATAATTTGGTAAACAGTAGTCAATAAAAGGAAAATGAAATTCAATTCTAAGTTTGTGTGCCAAAGTCAAATCTCTCCATGTGGTCCCCAGAGGCCTGTTAGGAGGGGTGGGTTACCTGGCATCAATCACTGCAGCTAGGTTTTCAGCTTCCATCCTCTGAAAGACATGTGGGAGCTGTATCAGGACATGACTGATGGAACCTGTCATTGGGACATTCCTCACGGCCACCTGCCAAGTCAACGAGAGCATTAAGAGACAAGCCATTCCCCTCCTTCTATCCTCATGGCCCAAACCATAAACAGTGCTCACAAAGATGGAGGAAACACGGAGAGAACCTACCTGGCCTTGCAAATTGACGCAGTACTTGTTGAACACTGAGTTAATCTGAGCATCCTGCAGGGCCCCAAACAGCAGTGTCTGGCGATAGTACTTGGACCAATTATTAAGACTCCACATCCGAACTCGGGAAAAGTCTACTCCATGTGAGTCCAGGGGTAGTAGGTTCATGTGGTTCATCAAATGCTTTGAACAGAAATAACTACATTAATGCTTACTGAGCATTTATATGTAGGACACTGCTAGGCATTTTGCAAATCTATCATCTCAGTTAACCCAATGGAGCACATACTACATCTCCCAAATCACAATAATAAAACCAAAACTCAGGGGGATGAGTGACTTGCCTATGGTTAGCCAAACACTCCCAACAAGAAGATAACTTAAAACTGGTCACCTCCTGGACCTTTAAAGGAGGATCACTAGTGGGACTGGGCACAGTGACTCACACCTACAATCCCAGTACTTTGAGAGGACAAGCCAGAAGGATTGTTCAAGCCCAGGAGTTCAAGACCAGTCTGGACAACATAGGGAGACCTCAACTCGACAAAAAAAAAAAAAATCACAATATTAGCTGGAAATGGTGGCACACACCTGTAGTCTCAGCTACTCAGGAGGCTGAGGTAGTAGGATCACCTAAGCCCAGTATATGGAGGCTGCAGTGAGCCCTGACCGTGCCATTGAACTCCACCTGGGTGACAGAGTAGGACCCCAACCCCCCCCCAAAAAGGATAAAAATGGTGCCCATAGAAATATTCCTTTAAAAGAACTTCTGAAATACCACCTTAGTTACTCTATAGGCTCCTCAGTCCCAGACTTAGACAAGAAGCAAAATCACATGACAAGGAAAACAGCTACTGCCCCTCAATGACCTGGTTCTCAAAACATTAGGAGTATTCTCAGAGCCGTTCCACCTGCTTTTTCCTCAAATTAAAGAATATGACTCAACCATTAGCCTGCCTTTTCCATTTTAATTATATTTTCACCTTGTAATATATATTGAAGGGCAATGAGTCCTATGAATTTATTACCTACTCTGTAAAGTAAGTACTACCCTTTATCTGTCCCCAGCTTCTTGCAAGCTTTAGGTCATGAGGTTGTAGCAGAGGTGAGTTCTCATATGCCTTAGAAAAACAAACCTATAGTTTCTTGATAAAGGAATATTCTGAAGCATTTTTTCAATTCTAAAACTGATAACACTGCAGAGAACAGTGGAGAAAGAGAACAAAATTACAACACAAATTAGAATAGGGAGATAAAGACATCAAATATTTCTCTACAGAACAAGATCCCACATTAAAAAATTCTAAGCAATGCTTTCCCATCTCTACTGGAGACCAAACAAAAAATGAGCATAAACTGTATGAGGAATTATGTTCAGTAAAGATGTACTTAGTGAGGAAGATATTCAGCCAGCGAGGCAGCCAGCCCATTCATCCATCCATCCATCCATCCATCCATCATCTATCCACCCACCCACCCAAACAGGGGACTGTTGGTAGAAAGTGAACTTTAAGGAGATAATTTTTTCTGGAGATTTGAAAATCCTAACAAGAATTTTTATTTCTAGATAACTTAATTACTGACCAATCTGTGGATAGAAAAGAGGACAAAAGACTTCAAACTGGAAAATGCAAAGTATTTCTCTGTTTCCAAACTGAGTTTTAATCTGAATTTAAATAGCCCTGTAGGGCTTAAGCCACCAAGTTTCTTGTCTCTCTAAATATGAATGCTGTCCTCTAAATGTGAATGACCAGCATTACCAGTACATGCTCCCAGTTCTGCATCAGGTAAATGTCAGCTTGATCAATGATGAAAAGCTCGATAGAAGACAAAAAGTCAAAGTCTCTCTTCTTCTCTCCTTCTCCACCAATGATGGTTCTCAAGCCCAGAGGAGAAGCAATGAGGATATCCGAGGAGTAAAAGGGGGCATAGAGTCGAATGCTTCTCTGAAGTATTGCCACTCCTACACAAACAGCCAAGCATACATCAATTAGTCACTATCAAGCCATCACCTTTCACTGTCTCAACGCATCCCACCTCTTCTTGACCCTCCACATTTCTGTTTTCCTTAGCAAATAACTATGCTTAAAATTTTAATTATTACAAAATAAGAATAATCTTTCTCTTGCATCTATAGTCCTTTCTAACTCCTTTCCTTCATTATCAAACTACTCCAGAGAATTTTTAGTTTTCAAATCTCCTATTTAGTTATCAATCCACTGCAATCTCAACCTCTGATTCTCAGGACATCAATGAAATGATGCTTGCTAATGTCCCCTGCAGCCCTCAGTTACAAATGCAGTGAACAATTTTTAGGATTTCGTGTCAGGAATACAGAATGAGCATATTAAACTAACCCTCCTTGAAATCCTTTTTCCCTTGCTAATGGTTTCCATGGCTTCAACACTCGCTTCCACTTCATCACTGAGCTGGCTCTTGTCTATCTTTCTAGATCCAAATACCTATTCATCCACAAACCCCTGGGTTTACCTGTCAGTTCTACTTTTTCTATGTAAAGTTAAATGGATTCACTAACTATGGTTTTAACATCATCTATACACAACTTCATATTTCCAGTCCACATCTATTTCCTGAGCTCCAGAACAATAAGCCAACCACTTGCTGGACATCAGGACACGTTCCAAAGGAAACGTCAGCTCTTATCCCCTTTTGCCTTCCACTCCAGTCACACCAAAGCCTGTGTGACTCTTAGGTAGATCCAGACTAAGTTACCTGATGCCTCTACATAGGCAGTCTCCTGTCTGAAATGCTTTCCTCCATTGCAACCACTCCTTTTTGTAACTAGCTAAATCCTATATAGGGTTCAACCTAAGACAGATGGCATCTCCACAGGACACCTACCTAACCACCTTGCCCCCATTTTGAGTAAGGGGTTTTGCATTAAATGTTCCCAGGACAACCACTGCATATATATCATCCTGCACTGTCTGTTCTCCCACTTAGGCTGGATTTCCTCAGCAATGGGAACCTTAACTTCCATTTCTATATCCCCAGCTTCTGAACAGTGCCTGGCATACTCAATAAATGTTTGTGAGTGAGCATTTGTGACTAATGGATATTTTCCCAAAAACTTTCCTCTGTTTAGGTACAACCAACGAAGTAAATGGGAGCTGAATAAGACAAGTAAAAACATTATGCATGGAGATAATTCAGGGGAAGTCACTCTTTTGCACAGACATTCAGTTTATTCAGCCACCCAAGAATGACCCCACCTAGTCCATCACTTCCAACTTTCCTAAGACTCCCTTGTAGTATCTGACTGTGTGCTACCAGGTAAGGGTGTGCTGAGAAATTTCTGTCATAGATATGCATTTGTCTTTTATATATGGCCTCAGAGACCCTCTCCATCCCATTAACCAAGAATTTACCCCATTGGCCAAGGCAAGACTTTTCCCCGTCAATCAAGATGTCTCAAATGTAGTTCTGCTAGGAGGCTGACCGAGTGACCCAAGGGAGAATGTCTAATTCCAGGCTTCCAGACTCCAGATATGTAGACCTTTACACCTTAGGTCCCACAGTATCCCATATTTCTCTTGATTTCAGTGTCTGAAGTCTCAATTTTGAATAAAAAAAAAGAAAAAGAAAAAGAATTACCAATTCTGAAGTGATCATCAATGTTGCCCACAAACACGGCTTCGTAATCCTCAGGCCTCTTCAAGTTGGGTGGTCTCTCCTCGGGATCTGACCCATATTCTCCCTGAAACCTCTTTTTGTTGCTCACAATGATCTTCTTCTTGCTGTCAACCTCAAGAAGGCTGATGAAGAGCTGGACCACCCGCAAAGCAGCTTCCCGGAAAGGCACCACTATCAGTACCTATGGAGAGAGCAACGACAACCTTGGTGGGAGAAAGGGGAAGGAATGGGAGGTCAAGATGAATATGCTGAGAAAGTGAAGCTACAAAGCCCCATGTACAGCAGTGGCCTCTGGTAAGAAATCTACATCACCCACTTTGCACAGGGCCTGGCTCAGCACTAAAGGCTGGGCACCTTTCATATCAGGAATAGCCATGTCCTATGGACTTGAGTCCCATGGCTCCATGAGACACGTCTCAAACAAAAGATGGAAATATCTTTTACAATAAGCACAATGTCTTTTTTTTTCTTAGTAGAAGTCTCACTCTGTCACCCAGGCTGGAGTGCAGTGGCATGCTCACAGTCACCGCAGCCTCAACCTGCTGCGCTCAGGTGATCCTTCTGCCTTAGCCTTCCAAATAGCTGGATCTACAGGCATGCACCACTACACCAAGCTAATTTTTTGATTTACTGTAGAGACGAGGTCTCACCAAGTTGCCCATGCTGGTCTTGAACCCTTGGGTTCAGGCAATCTTCTCACCTCTTTCTCCCAAAGTGCTGGGATTACATGTGTAAGTCACCGTGCCCAACTAGTAAAATGTCTTTTGCAGATGTGTCCACTAGCAAAAACTCAAGGGCATAAACACACACCAGGCAAGGAATGTGACCTCATTTGTGTCTCCCAAAGAAGTTAGTGCAATACTTTTATCTAAAAGATCCACTGAATAAATATATGCTGAATAAATAAATGGAATAAATAGAGAAGAAATAAAGCAGGTAAGAAAAGGATTAACACATCATTACAACTTTAGTGCATTCCTTAGGACGTTTTTCAGAAATGATGATAAGGCATTTCTAAAATAAAACTATAGTTCAACAGGAAAAATAGGACTCACTTTTGAAGCCTCTAAAAAAATGGTTAAACTTACTGTTGAAGACACAAACAGAAGATGCTTAATAAATGGCTAATTTCTAACTATCCTTTTGTAAACAATGTAATCAACTGGACATAATCCCAGTCAAATCATGCCATTCACTAAACTATAAATATGCTTCATGAGTAATCTGCCTTTAATTTTCTGTGCAATTCCAAATGGAAACAAATAACTTAAATAACCGTTATATTCAAGATTCTGAGGTAGTTTCCCAGAACTAGGCAACCAGCACAGCCCGAGGAGTATAATGGTTCAGCCTGGTACAGCACAGGGACAGAGGACCGTGATTTAAGGGGGCTGAGTTATTGTCCCAGTTGTAATACCAAGTATCTGGGCTTTGGTTTCTTCCCCAGGTACTAAACAAGGAGGACTGACTTAAAAATCTCTAAGAGCCACATCAGTATTAAAAACCTAGAATTCTATAAACTCAATGAGAAAATTCTAAAAAGATGAGACTTTGTCAATATAAAAAACTAAGGGAGTTGTGGGGGGAGGGGGGGGACAGGACCCTAACATCATAAAAAGCACAGACAGATTAAGACATTTCCTGTTAGCCGGGCTCGGTGGCTCAGCCTGTAATCCCAGCGCTTTGGGAGGCTGAGTTGAGTGGACTGCCTGTTCGAGACCCGCCTGGGCAACTTGGCGAGACCTCATCTCTACAATAAATCAAAAATTAGCTGGGCATGGTAGCGCGTGCCTGTAGTTCCAGCTACTTGGAAGGCTGAGGTGGAAGGATTGCCGGAGCCCAGCAGGTCGAGGTTGCAGTGGCCGGGAGCAGTCACTGCACTCCAGTCTGGGTGACAAAGTGAGACTCCAACTCAAAAAAAAAAAAAAAAAAAAAAGACATTTTCTGTTAAGCCTCAAAGCCACTGAAGCTTAGACTTATCAGCACAAACAAATATAATCATCACTCTACACTAACTGCACAGTGGCAAATAGAGATTTTTGTTTTCAAAGAATAGCATATGTACAGGGCTCAGGGAAGAGAATCCTTGGTTCTAGCCCCATCTCCACTACTCTTTCCATGGTTCTCATTAACAAGGATCTGTACAAATCTGGGTCTCTGTCCACAAGTGTAATATGCAGGGATCAGATAAAAGGCTCATTAAGGTCTCATCCAGCTCTGACAACCACTAAGAAGAGATTTTTAATAAAGTGTTATTTATGTATGTTCTGAGTTTAAGAAGAGTATCAGAATTCCTCCTTCTCACAAGTTTCCAGTTAGATCCACTGTCAGAAATAGCTGACTGAACTATCTGCACTACTGCTCTGACACTACCTGGCCCACTTAATGTGCTCACATTTGGGCTCATTCATTACTCCAGCCAATTATTAAAACACCCAAGTATCTGCTAAGTGCCAGGCATCTATGGCAGCACCTTGCAGTCTTCTCAAGGATGAAGAATTGCTGCTGCCACTCACCTTGGGCCTTGTTAGCCCTTGGTCTCTGAAGTCATCATCATCACCTACTCCAAGTTTCTGGCTTCGGCGCCTGCTGTTGTTGCCAAGCACCTGGGCATTGGCTTTGAGGATGTGATTTATCACATGCAGGCAGTACACATGGCGGATCTCCTCCCCATTCTTCAGGGCAGTCCTTTCAGGGTAGAACAGGTCCCGGTAAGAATTCATAATTAAGAAGAGTTCTTTCTGGAGCGGGGTGAAGGGGCTACTTGATTTCTGGGGACCAGATAGGAACTGGCTATTGATCTTGGTCCAGGTGGATTCCAGAGGCTTCTGGAGATGAAGTGACTTTAAGTCAATGTCCTTTGGGGGTTTAAATGTTTCCAACTTCTGAAACTTAGATGAAAAGACAAGCTGGCCCAGGATAGGCCACTAGGGGAGAGAGAGATCAAGAGCTAAGTTAGAAACAAATAACAATCCTTTATATTCACACAGTACTTTATAACTGACCAAACCTGCATGAATTATAGATTGTCTCACTTAATCCTCACAATAACGCTGCAAGGTAGACACCATAATACTCATATTATAGTTTAGGAAACATAGGTTCACATAGAGGTTGTATGATCTAGACAAAGTTTATACAGAAGAGAATGGAGCTGAGGGCTAGAACCCAAGGTTTCTAATTCAAACCTGAGCTCTTCACTCTATCAGTGTTCCCCATACTGTTCTATGGGACACATTCTGGAAAGAGTCAAAATTCAATCTAAAGAAAAAGGGGCTCCATGGTCAAATAACTTTGGTAAGCATAACAAAACCTAATCCCTCTGAGGGAGAGTAAAAATGCACATTAGATACTAAAGGTTCTGATAAGTCCAATAATAAGAAACCTATCACTGATTTCAGAAATCCTAAGGAATTCTATTTCCTATTATGTGGGACATGTGTTTGAGAATTTTTTCACGGTAGCAAATTTACTGATCTAAACATAAGATGACCTTAGCAATAAAAAGAAACAAACTACTGATAGCCTTAATAACTTTGATGACTCTCCAGGGAATAATTCTGAGTGAAAAAAGCCAGCCTTGAAAGATTACATGCTGTATGGTTCCATTTATTTAACATTTTGAAATGACAAAATTATATAAAAATGGAGACAAGATTAGAAGTTACGAGGGGCTAGATATCAGGAGTGCAGTGAGGTGGGAGTGGGTAGATGGAATGGAGTGCAGAGTGAGGTGCATATGGACAACAAGGATCCATGTGGGCTAGAAAAGTTCTGCATCTTTATGGTGGTAGTAGATACAAGAATTGACACCTGATAATATCATATAAAACTAAATGCACACACACACTGAATAGAAGTAAAACCAGAGAAACGTGAATAAGACAGGTAGATTATACTGATGTCAATTTTCTGGTTATGATATTGTACTGTGGTCTGTAAGACGCTACCAATGGGAAAAACTGGGCAAAGGGTATGATTTCTCACAATTGCATGGGTACCTACAATTATTATCTCAATAAAAATTTGAATTAAAAAAGGTGACTCACACTCATGAACAGTATCAGTGGTAAAAACAAAGAAGCAAAAACTGCCCAATATTTGAAAACTTTAGTTGTGAACCTATCTCAGATATTTCAAACGAATAAATAACAGTAGTACCTACTCTTTTACTTAAGAGTTTTACTTCACTACATACTAGTTATCAGTCAATAAACAAAATTATTTTGAGGTAGGCATTATCATCTCCCTCTAATAGACCAGAATAGTGAAGTGTGATTAACTCACCCTAGGTCATGTGGCAGCCCCCTGCAGCTGTTGGTCTAAACTCTGGTGCACTCTTACTCATATTGCTGTATTATCTGGCACTCACACTCCACCTTCCAGTGCCCTTTTTATCTATACCTGTACCCACTAGGCTCTTCCAGCCTTCCTATACTCCACCTCTCTATCAAGTTATCTACCACTGGTGTACATCATACATTCTGTGAGACCACTGAAACTCAAGACCACTATTTTATTTTGAGTTTTCTCCATTTGTGACTGAGATGACCAAGCAACACTTACTTTTAACTGGTGGGTAGTTTTGGCATTTGTGGCAATATCTTGAATTTCTTTTTCTTTCAGTTCCTTGTTCACATGTTGTAGAAATGGATCTAATTGCAGAAATAAAAAATGTCAGCATACTTAGCGTGGATAGAGGAATTTTCTAGTCTTCCCTTGTGAATGACATGTTCATCTTCATGGTATTAACTCATTCTTTTTTCCAACTACTTTCCCCATCCTCTAGGCCAGTCTAGAGCTTAAATTTCTGACAGGTTCATCTTCCTAAAGCACTCCTCTAATCACATTACTTCCTAGCTCAGAAACCTTTGAAGAAACTTCTCAGTCTAGAATCAGGGCACTTTAGGATGCACCTCTAACTTGCCTCTCCAGTGTAATTTCTGGACTGTAAGGCCCTCAAATGCTTCTGTTTCATATCTTTCCTTCCTTCAGTGAAAAATTCTACATTCTCCTTTACCTCATTTTTGAATATCTAAATATTATCAATTTAATGTTACTCTGACTTAAAATAAATACTTCCCAGGGGCTTAATGTCACAGGCAGTGTTGGCTCCCCCTAAAAGGCCATCCTAGGTCCCCTATAATAGAATTATCACTTTCTCCTCTCAATTCCCAATGATCATTGATCTCAATAATCAACAATCAGTACTCAACTAAACAGAAAAAATCATACATCTGTCCTCTGGGTAATCTCCAGTACTCTAAACTGGCCACTCAACCCTGTTTCCCAGTCCTACTCATAAGAAACACAATAAAGTTAAATGACTCATTCAAGGATCCAAATGGTAAAAACTTCAAATGAAATGCACCTTGTGAGATCCGGAACCTCAATGTGACTATTGACCAAATGGATTTAACTGATACCTACAGAACACTCCACCCAACAACCACAGAATATACATTCTACTCGTCACCACATGGAACGTACCCTAAGATCGACCACATCCTCGGCCATAAAATCAAGCATAAACAAATTTCATAAGATTGAAATTCTGCCATGAACCTTCTCAGACCATAGTGGAATAAAAATATATATCAATACCAACAAAGTTCCCCCAAAACCCACAAAGACATGGACACTAAACAACATGATGCTAAGCAATTCCTGGGTCAACGTGGAAATCAAAACAGAGATTAAAAGATACCTGGAAACAAACGAAAATGAAGAAACATCTTATAAAAACCGCTGGGATGATGTGAAAGCAATACTACGAGGGGAATACATACTGCTACAAACACAGATGAAGAAAATGGAAAGATCGCATGTTAACAGCCTAACAAGTCCAAGAAGCTGGAAAAGCAAGACCACCAAAACCCTAACTTCAGAAGAATCCAGATCACCAAAATAAAAGCCCAAATCTGGGACATAGAAAACAAAAAGATAATACAAAAAAAATCAATGAAACAAAAAGCTGGTTCTTTGAAAGGATAAACAAGATTGATGGTCCTCTAGCTACATTGACTAAGAAAAAGAGAGAAAAAGCCCAAATAAACACAATCAGAAACACAAAAGATGAAGTCACGATTGACCCTGAAAAAATACAAAAGATTATCAGAGACTACTATGTATACTTGTATGGAAACAAACTTGAAGACCTAAAGGAAATGGAGGACTTTTTGACATCATAGAACCTCCCCAGGTTGAAGCAAGAAGTCAAGACCCTAAATAGACCAGTAACAATCCAGGAAATTGACTATGTCATAAGAAAACTACCAGTTGCCGGGCTCAGTGGCTCAGCCTGTAATCCCGCGCTTTGGGAGACTGAGGTGAGCGGATTGCCCAAGCCTGTGGGTTCGAGACCCGCCTGGGCAACTTGGCGAGACCTCATCTCTACAATAAATCAAAAATTAGCCGGGCGTGGCAGCACACACCTGTAGTTTCAGTTACTTGGAAGGCTGAGGCAGAAGGATCGCTGGAGCCCAGCAGGTCAAGGCTGCGATGGCTGGGAGTGGCCCCTGTACTCCAGTCTGGGCGACAGAGTCAGACTCCAACTCAAAAAAAAGAAAACTACCAGCAAAAAAAAAAAAAAAAGACCTCGACCAGATGGCTTTCCAGCAGACTTCTACAAAACATACAAGGAACTGATATCAATACTATTGAAAGTGTTCCAGAAATTGGAACCATTTCCCCTGAAAACCAGAACAAGACAAGGATGCCTACTCTTGCATCTCCTGTTGAACATAGTTTTGGAAGTCTTAGCCAGAGCAGTCAGATAAGAGAAGGAGATCAGGGGTATCTAAATAGGAAAATAAAGGAAGTCGTGTTATCTCTCTTTGTAGACAACAGGATTCTATACCCTGAAAACCTAAGAGAATCTGTCAAAAACCTCCTTGCACTGATAAAGGGTTTTGGCAAAGTCTCAGGGTATAAAATAATGTGCAAAAGACAATCGCATTTCTATACACCCATCAGAAACAGAAACACAAATATAAATCACAATCCCATTCACAATAGCCATAAAAAAAAATGAAATACCTTGGCATCTTCCTAACCAGAGATATGAAAGACCTTTACAATGAAAACTACAAAACACTGCTCAAAGAAATCAACGATGATCAAAACAAGTGGAAAAATATTCCATGCTCATGGATTGGAAGAATCAACATTATTAAGATGTCCATTCTACCTAAGGCGATCTACAGATTTAACAAATTACCAGCAACTTCTTCTCAGACCTGGAAACAATACAGGAATTCATAAGGAAATGGAAATGACCATGAATAGCCAAAACAATCCTCAGTTAAAAAAAAAAAAGTGGGAAGTATCACACCCCTAGACTTTAAACTTTATTACACAGCTACAATTATCAAAACAGCCTGGTATTAGTATAAGAACAGGCATATAGACCAATGGAACAGGATTGAGATTCCAGAAACAAAACCTCAATTTCTCAACCAACTTATCTTTGACAAGGCCTCCATCACCAACCACTGGGGAGAGGAGAACCTATTCAGCAAATGGTGCTGGGAAAACTGACCACATGCAGAGGACTAAAACAAGACCCCTACCTATTGCCATACAAAAATCAACTCTAAATGGATCAAAGACCTAAACGTAAAACCTCAAACTGTAAGAACCTTAGAAATGTAGGAGACACCCTTATGGAAACTGGACTTGGCAACCAATTCCTGATCAAAACCCCAAGTGCCCATGCCATAAGAGATAAGATAGACAGGTGGGACCTCATCAAACAGACAAGCTTCTGCAAAGTCAAAGAAACCATCAAGAGAGCAGGGAGACAGCCTACAGACTGGGAAAAAATATTTGCCAACTATATGTCTGGCAAAGGCCTAACATCTAGGATCTACAAGGAACTCAAACATGCTGAAAGGAAAAAAACAATCGCCTCATTACAAAGTGGGCAAAAGATCTGAAATGACATTTCTCAAAAGAAGATGTACAAGCAGCCAACAGATACATGAAAAAATGCTCAGCCTCACGAGTCATCAAAGAAATGCAAATTAAAACTACACTGAGATATTACCTAACTCCAGTCAGAATGGCAGTCATCAATAACTCAAAAAATAACAGGTGCTAGAGAGGATGTGGTGAAAAGGGAACACTTCTACACTGTTGGTGGGAGTGTAAACTAGTACATCCTCTGTGGAAAACAGTGTGGCGATTCCTAAAAGTTCTAAAAGTCAACCTTGTATGTGACCCTGCAATCCCCCTACTGGGAATATACCCAGAGAACTCAAATCACTCTATAAAAATAAAGATACCTGCTCACGTATGTTTATCGCAGCATTGTTCACAATAGCAAGAACATGGAACCAACTGTGCTGCCCATCAAAAAGGACTGGATTAAAAAATGTGGTACATATACAAAATGGATTATTACGCAGCCATAAAGAAGAACAAAATCATGAACTTCGCAGCAACCTGGATGAAACTAGATTCTATAATACTGAGTGATCTTTCACAGAAACAAAGAACTGAGTATCACATGTTCTCACTCATAAGTGGACCTTGAACAACTACCATAATACTATAAGAAAAGGATTGGCAGTAGTGGGAAAATGGGGGGGGCAGGGAGGTGGGATTGGCAGTAGTGGGAATCCACCTGGGGAAGCAGGGGCACACCTCATCAACAAGGGTATCTGCATAATGAATATGTGTATACCTAACCCTGAATTGTACCCCACATCTTTAAAATAAAAAATTTAAAAGTTAAAAAGAAAAGAAATGCACCTCGTATTAAACACCTAGGAGTAAACAACAGGACAGAAAAATTGTAGGTGCTACTACATCTGTATAGGCAAAAGAACCAGATAAATTTTTAGGATAGTCAAGCTTCCTAATGTTTCCTTTCAGGTTTTTAAATTTTAATGGTTCAGAATGAGGTTTGCACTAAAATTCTACCCGTCACTTCTTTCTCCCACATAATAGACAACAAAACTAAATGAGCCAAAGGAAGATTGCAGCTTCACTAATGGTAAAGCTGGTTTGAAGAATGGGACTGAGGTCAATAAAGGCAGCCAGGATACAGAACAAAAACCAATCCAACTTGCCCACCCCTGGGTTGAGAAACAGACCAAGAAACTGGACTTGAGATAGTGGAGAACTGTCTAAACCTGCCATAGGTAGGCACTGTCCACATAACTGCCATCTAGCCACAAACACATCCAACAGCCTCTAAGAGGGAGGAGAGACAAGTAGGTTTTCTGGTTTTTGACTAGTAAAAGGACTACCTAAATTAGTACCCCTGGGTCTTGCAAATCTGAAAAATTACTGCACCAAAAAGAACAAATGAGGGATGGAAAGAAAAGTGGGAAATATTTTCTCCTCTTTTTCTTTCTCTTCCTTCCCTGCTTATGGAGAAAATCAGAAGTCCTCCCCTGACACCAATTACAGAAATGTGAGACCTGGGGAAGTGGCCTTAGCCATCATCATTCTTAAGGTGTACTCCTAAACATTCCTCCCGCCCTCAAACACCGACCATAGGAAAACACAAAATGCCTTTGAGAAGTGCTTTTTCCAAGCTCTAGATCTAGCCACTAAACTGTTTGCTTATTGCTGCTTGTTACAATAACAGATTTAACACATTAGTGTATAAATCCCACATTAAGCACCTGGTGAATTCAAATAATACACACTCGACTGTGACCTTGTGATTCTTTCAAAGAGTTGTCTCCACTTTCCTCTTCAAGAAAATTGGTTTCCAGGCTGAAAAGTGACTCGTGTTTTGCATCTGTGAACTCTTCGGAAGATTCTTGTTGTGATGTACCCAGTGGCCTTTCCCCATCTTTTCCCTCAGGGTCAGCAGACAAGGCCATATCTACAATTTTGAGAAACATTTTATAAAATTATTTACTCATGAATATAATTATACTTCTGTTGACAAATAAAATATATTTCCTTAGCCTATACCAACAATGGTGTTCACTGATATTAATTTATGTTAGGCAAATTTAGAGGGAAGACAGAAATTTTAAATTATGCCCAATCATGGACACATGATACAATGTATGATGGTGAATTTTATGTGCCAATTTGGCTGGGCCACAGAGCCTAGTTATTTGGTCAAATATTATTCTGGATGTTTCTGTGAAGGTGTTGTTGGATGAGATCTACATTTAAATTGGTAGACTTTAGGTAAAACAGACTAGTCTTCATAATATGAGTGAGCCTCATCCAATCTGAAAGCCTAAATAGAACAAAAAGCAGATCTCCCCAAGCAACAGAGAATTCTTCCAACAGACTGCCTCTGAACTTCAAGTGAACATCAGCTCCTCATGAGTCTCCTGCCTGACTGCCTTTGGATTTGAGCTACAACCCATTCCTAAGTCTCAAGTCTGCCTGCCTCCCCCATCAGATATTTTGGATTTGCCAACTCTCCAGTCACGTGAACCAATTCCTTATAACAAATCTCTTTCTGTACACTACAACGTACATGAGAGGATGTTTACAGCATCACTAATTATAAGAAATAACTGGAAAAGTCTATCATAGGATACTAATTAAATAAATTATCACATATTTACAATAGAATACTATATAATTAACAAGCTAATGTGAACCCATAATTACAGAAATATGAGACCATTATACAAATACACATAAATATATGGATATTTGTAGTCACACATATATCCATAAAAATGTAGTCTGAAAGGTTATATACAATGCTAAAGGTAATTATCTGAGTAGTGCCCTAAGTCTGAAGCAATGAATTTTTATTTTAGTTAAGCTGATCAGTGCTTCACATCCATTACTACATCAAGAACGGGATGCAACACATAAAAGTATAGAAAAAATTGAAGCTGAAAGAAAAACAGACATTAAAATAGTGAGATATAAAGTCACCCAGATATATTCAGACAATGGAATACGACTCCAGCAATAAAAAGCAATGAACTACTAATATACGAATAACATGTATAAACCACAAAAACAGGAGAAGCAAAAGAAACCAGATACAGAAGAGCTTACACTGTATGACTCCATATACATGACAGGCAAAACTAATCAGTGACAGAAAGCAGGTCAATGTTTGCCTGATGCTAAGGGTGGGGAATTAACTGCAAAAGAATAAGAAGGAACTTTTTAGAGATAATGAAAATGTTCTGTATCTTGCTTTGGTGGTAATAACAAGGATGAAAATATTTGTCAAAACTTATCAAACTGTATACTTAAATTGGGTATATTTTATTGCATGTAAATCATACCGCAATAAAGTTGATTTAAGAAAAAAATCATATTGAAGTCTGAGTGAGATAGTTCCTTTTGGCTTTCAATTCTAGCTCTTCCGCAAAGCCTCCCCTAATTTACCCTGGTAGAGCTCAACCACTCTGTATCTCTTCAACACCTTACACCTAGCTGCTCCATGCAATTGAAAATGTCTGTATATTTACATGTCTATCTTCCATCAAACTTGATATCCCTAAGAGAGGAGCAGTGACCTCTTCAATAAATTCAGGCAGTAACAAAGGTCACCTTCCTCTGTACTGGGGGTCTTTCACAGTATTGATGAAGTCCCTGAAATCATAAGCAAGAGTTATTTCTGCATTTTTCTGGTGAGAAGGACCTCAGATTCTCAAATATATAATCAAACCCAATAAGGCTGAACCTCTGCTTTGCATCCATGTGTTCTCATCCAACCTATACAGTACAGGGTACCATGCCCATGTGGCAATCCTATGATCCTGACAAAGATGGTGAGCCCACACCAAGGACACTTACTGTCCTGCTTTTCAGTAGAATCTGCTGCTGTTTCTTCTTCCAAATTGCCATCACCACCAATGTCTTCATCACTCATGTCTGCATCATCTACAATATTGTCTTCTTCCTCCTCCTCCTCCTCTTCTTCCTCAGAAACATTCGTTAAAGTAGCAAGTAGTCTGTGGTATCCAGAAACTTGTTCTGGTTCGTTCTCTGCCTCACTTTCAGAATTTGAAGTATCAGAACTCTCTGACTAAAGGAAAAATGAGAATTTTTTAAAAGACAAAAACTATATTGGTCTCCTTGTTACCCCAAGACTATCATCAAGCCAACAAGTTCAGACTTTCCTAAATAAAAATTTGCTTTTTACAAATATCACAGAACCTCATTTACTTATCCAACTCCAGCAACAAGTTTATATAAAATAGTTGATCTAGCTATGATTGAGGAAGCTCTCCATATTGTCTGAACTGCTATTGCCTCGTATGGAAAGAAAACAGACTTAAAACATATATCTTTAATAATGAGATTTAACTTATGTCCCAGACATTATGCTATATGTTTAACAGGAAAAAATTACAAAACAACAAAGGAAAATAATTTGAGTTTGTTGTAATATAATAGGACCTTTGTTTAGTTTGCACTCCTTTTGTGCTAAGCAAAAAAAGATACTCCTCCTTAGGATTCACTAAGAGCCCTTTGGTAAGCCTCTTTAACTGGGCCTAATAGAGTAGTTTCTTGGGATAATCCAGGGTCTCAAAACTGAACTCCTGTTCTATATCTTGACCTTGTATATAATATGCCAAATCAATCAAACTGTACATTTAAAATGGGCTCTTTTTAGATTAGTCTCCTGGGACAGTTTCAAACTCTGGCTTCTGTATTAGATATCACAACAACATTTTTATAGACATCTGCATTCAAAACTAAGTAATATTACTATGGTTGCTTACATCTAAAATCAAAGGGTGTAGAAATGTAATAGAGCCTTATTAGCATATGCAAACTTAATTATATGTAAGAACCAATTAAAATAAAGTATAAAGCATTACCAGTTGACAAATCTGTGGTTTTGCTTCCTTTCTGGAAACCCTGAGAAGAAACAGGTAATGTTACACTCTAACAACTAGTACGTAGTAATTAGGAAAAATACTAATGATACAACTTTAAAACATCAGAATATACCATTATAAATACATTATAACTAAACTCATGCAAAAATTATATATGCACTTGGACAGGATTGCAGGAATATGACAAAAGGATAACAGTTGGCAAAAAAAGTTTAAACAGGTCACATCACAAGTACTAGAGTCACACAATAACTGGCTCTCATTCAAAATAAGGATATATTGTGGAAAATAACAGACCATGGAGTGCACCTTTTCTTACAAATTTCTTAAACAGAATATCCATTTAACTGCTCATAAAGCAGCCCAAAGTGGTGGGATGAGTACTGTGATCACAACTTGAGTCTGGACATTTCCAGAGGAATCACAAACTACAGATATATCTGTTTCCTTATTTTAACTACATAGATCAGTGATGTTCAAGGTCCTAACCAACTCCTTAAAAACACATACGGTGGCTATAATTAACAATTTACTGTATACATTCAAATAGCTAAAAAATAGGATTTTTGAATGTTCCTAAGGCAAAGAAATGATAAATGTTTAAGATGATGGATATGGGATATGCTAATTACTCAGATTTGATAATGACGCCTTATACACATGTATAGGTGTCGAAATACCACAACCGTACCCATAAATCTTTACGGTTATTGTATCAATTAGAAATAATTATAAAAGCCAAAAAAAAACCCCACAAAAGACGTTAGACCATCTCTGAACATACAAACATCTGCCTCCACTCAAGGGGCGTGTCATCTAGCAGGAAGTTACAGGTTCAAGAAAAAACAGAGCCACGTGAAGCACCCCATCTCCCAGCGGGATGGCAGGATGGCTCCAGAATCTCCCCAGTCGAGCATGCACAGACCTCGACCCCGAGCACGGCAGGAAACACGGGAACATGGGAAAAGCTGGAGCAGCCCTATACTATTCCTTGGGAGATCAGGGGACCAAACCCGGGAAAACGCCGGCTCCCAAAGGGAAAAAGACGCCGGCAACGCAGGTTCTCTGCCACGCCCTCCGGACCTGTCATAGAAGGGGTGCTCCTCGCCGAAATCCCGAAGGTGCTGCTTCTGCTTTTTAGTTAGACTGTTGAGCAGCTGGCTCTGACTCCGGCTTCCGCGTTTGCCCATGGCGAAAACGACTGCTCCGCTCACCTCCAAGTCGCGCTTTTCTCCAGGAAGTTGTCGCGGCAACACGTGCACTTGGACTCGCCGACAGCCCTTTACGGCGAAGGCGGGAGTGCCATAAAGCAGATCCGTTTTACGTCGCACTCGTACGACAGACTTTAAAATGTCGAGTTCCCGATTCTGCCCCCTCCCGAGGCTCTTTGGAAGTGCAGCACGCGTGCCCATCTGTTATCAGCGTCCCTAACGTTGGCAGGCTGAATTGGAGCTTCCTGGAGTGGGTGGGTGGTAGGGCGCTTTGTGCTTCTGTTTTGGTTGTGGGAAGCGTTATGGTAAGTGTGTGTAGCAGAGACGTTCGAATGCAGTGACTTTATATTATACCATAATAAAAATACCAACCAACGTTGAAGGGGCTGGCACGTTTCACTTCATCTTCATAGCGCCGTACAAACAGGTCTTGTTAATAAATAAGTCTGGGCCTGGCTTGGTGGCTCAGCCTGTAATCCCAGCACTTTGGGAGGCCGAGGTGAGTGGATTGCCTGAGCCCGCGGGTTCGAGAACCGCCTAGGCAACTTGGCGAGACCTCATCTCTACAATCAATCAAAAATCAGCCGGGCGTGGTAGCGCGCGCCTGTAGTTCCAGCTCCTTGGAAGGCTGAGGCGGAAGATCGCCGGAGCCCAGCTGGTCGAGGCTGCGGTGGCCGGGAGCGTCCACTGCACTCTGGTCTAGGTGACAGAGTGAGACTTCAACTCAAAAAATGAACAAATAAATAAATAAGCCTGATACTGATGCTTAGAAAAAGTAACATGCGCCTGCGCGGTAGCTTACGCCGGCAATCTCAGCGCTTTGGGCGGCCCAGGGATCTGTTGATGCCAGTTCGAGAGCAGCTTGGGCAACATAGCAACACTCCATCTTACCAAAAAGAAGAAAAAAAGCCAGGAGTGGTGGCTTGCGCCTGTAAATCGCAACTTCTTGGAAGGATCCTTTGTGCCCAAGGCTACAGTGAACTATGATTGCACCACTGCATTTCAGCCTGGGCGACAGAGCAAGAATCTTTACCAAAAAAAAAAAAAAAAAAGTACCATCTAACTTTCTCTGATGCAGCCACATGCTTTAACCACTAGGGTCTGCCACCTGCATGTGTTATATTAAGCACGAGGACACGCAAGGCTGGGATTCCCGCCCTCTCCCCACCCCACATTTTCTGAAGAAAGTGTTGGAAGAGCCCCTGGAAACAAATCTGTTACAACTTCCTCATTTGATAAAAGCAGAAACCCATCCAGAAAGGTAAAGGGACTTTCCTGAAATCACCCTGAGATTCATGCTAGAAAAGGCTGTAGAACTCAATTCAGAGTCTCAAAACTGAACTCGGGCAAAAAGCTTTTAAAGGTGAAGACCTGTCCTATATCTTGGTCATGGTTGTGGTTATGCTTTGTATACAATAAACCAAATTAATCAAACTGTACATTTAAAATGGGCTCTTTTTTAATGTATTGACTAATCATCTAAATAAAACAGGAAAAAGCAAAAACTAAAACCAGGCACCATACTCCAAGGAAATGCAGCAGTGTGCAGAGCTACTTGACACCACAGCATAAACATGGTGAGACACTTTTCCTAATAGTAACTTATAATATCATGTTCTACAAAAACAAGATGCTAAATCGTAGACCACAGAATTCAGTTGAATATGTAAAACAGGAGCCATACAGGATGTTCACTCTGCTCTGCTCTTAGGGGTGTTTCCGTGGGAAATCTGAGTTTCGCTGGATACCATCTACAACTCTTTTTTTTTTTTTTGAGTTGGAGTCTCACTCTGTTGCCCAGACTGGAGTGCAGTGGTCACTCCCGGCCACCGAAGCCTCGACCTTCTGGGCTCCGGCGATCCTTCCGCCTCAACCTTCCAGTAGCCGGAATTACAGGCGCGTGCTACCACACCCGGCTAATTTTTTTATTTTATTGTAGAGATGAGGTCTCACCTGCCCAGGTGAGTCTCGAACCCGCGGGCTCAGACAATCCACTCACCTCAGCCTCCCAAAGGCACGGGATTACAGGCTGAGCCACCAAGCCCGGCTTACAACTCTTAATTAGAGTCTGAGGAGTTGCAAATGGGGAACAGAGTACAGGGCAAGGGTATATGAAGAAAATATGCAAACAGAGAGGGTGGTGCCAGCAGCTGACCCAGCCAAGGAACCCATAAATAGCCATCTGTCTTCTAATTCCAAGATAAAGGTACAGTCACTTAGGTCAACAAAAGGCTGTTTGTGAAATGTCATCATATATTTTAAGGTACTGACCACAGTGTAAACTTGGCAACAACAATAAAGAGCCATACTTTTTTTTTCTCCTCCCACTATATCCCAAGTGCCCAGTTTCCCTCTACAGAAGCAACCAGTTTCTTGGTGATCTTCCAGAAATCTTCTATGAAAAGTTATACTCTTGAGCACTTGAGATGACTCTTACTCTCTCCTGGTTTCCACATGTTTGTGGTCCTGTGTACAGGAAGACTGTTCTTGGGCTCAGGCAAATGCACCCTAACTCCACCAAGTAGTCTCATTATTGGCTTACTAAGTGATGGAAACTGAGCCCCTTTCTTCCCCCAAAAATATTTATATTAGCTTTTGACAAGATAACAGGGGAATCCTTTGTGAAAATGTAACCTGAGAGGTAAGAATTTAAATATGTTTTCATACCTCCAGTGAAAGTTCTCTTAAAAAAAACCCACACAAAGAAAATGTATATGTCAATAAATGAAGTCCCCAGGAAAATTGTAATGAAGACATAATTTGTTCTTCTTTCTTCTTCCCTCCCTCAGTCCTTCCTTTCCCTCCCCCGAGGTTTTGTTTGTTTGTTTTTTACCTCTACACACGGGCATTCTGTATTTTCAGGCTTAAAGTCAGTCCAGGAAATAATCTTCTATATTAGTTTACAAAGCAATGTTATTGAAGTAGCGAGGTAATTTTCCAAGGGTATTTGCAATTTCCCAAAGACTCCTCAGGATAATGATATCAAGGGGTGGGAGAGGGATAGCTATCCTTTAGGACAAGAATATCTGAATATTCAGGAAGTTGTTAATTTTTTTTAAAACTTTTTCTATGGAAAATTTAAAATATATATAAAAAGTAGACAGAATGATAGAGTGAACTCCCATGTTCCCATTACTCAGCTTCAACAATTATTAATTTGATGCCATCTTGTCTCATCAATATGTCCACTCAGTGCTCTACCCCTACTCGGCATGATTTTTGGAGCAAATCCCAAACACTGTATTATTTTATCTGTAAATATTTTAGTTTGTATTTCTAAAAGCTAAGGACCCTTTTTTAAAAACATAGCCACAATGGCATTATTTCACCTTAAAAAAGTGATGATACTGTTTGTTATCATTATACAGAGGGCGCCAAAAAATGTATACACATTTTAAGAAAGGAAAAAGTGTATTAAGATTGTAATACTCAATATGTACCGATAACAAGTGGTGAATACGAGTCACGTTTGACTTCTGCAATTACAAGAGGTGCTCAAAGTGGTTACCACCAGACATTTCTGATTATGGTAAACTAAATATATACATAACATCTCTTTAAATGAATATAAATGTTTTTGCACCCCCAGTGTATCCAGTCAATGTTCAAATTTCTGATTGTCTCATAATGTTGTCTTTTTCTTTTTTACTCTTTGTTGGTTTAACATGTTCTTCTCTTCTCTCTGTTTCTCATGAATTGGTCGTTGGATCTAGAAGTTTTATCAGACTTTGTTATAATTGAAATTTTATGCTTCCATCAAAAGACATATGATGTACTGTTGCCTTTCTTTTTGTGACATTACCAGACATTGATGTTCAATATGTAAATGTGTTAATTCACTAATGTGTTCTAATTCTAACTCAGGAGGTGATATTCTAATTCTGACATTTCTTCTTCTCTTACTGCTGTACTCTTGCTATGAGAAAAATTTTACCTTAACTAAATTTTGGTTACCTAGTGGTACAGTTTGTGTAGGAAAGAATAAATCCTCAATTCTTTTTCTTTATTTGCAAATTTTCAACATAAGGAGTTGATCACTGGGTCTTCTAATGGTAACCAATCAAGTTTTTGTTTTTATTTTAATTATGAACTCACAGAGTTATACAAGTTGATGTGCTTTAAATGTTTTGCAAATATTATGGTGCATATAGTTTGAAAGAACTTATGTTATATATAAGAAGGGACCAAAAAAGCCCTGAAATTTATTTATAAAAAATAATGTATTTATTTTTACATGTTAAAACTTGTCACCTTCAAAGTACTCTCTGTTTGATGCAATACACCTACTGAGATGCTTTTTCCACTGCTCAGAACAGTTTTTGAACTCATCCGTTTTGATGCCTTTAAGTACTTCTACTGTTTTTTGTTTCACCTTTTCCACATTGGAAAGTGTTTCTTTTTGAGGACTTTTTTCATATGGGGGGAAAAAAAAGTTGCTTGGGTTGAATAGGGAGGGTGTGGCACAGGAGTCATGCTGTTTTTGGTAAAAAACTGCTGAACACTCAGAGCAGTGTGGGCAGGTGCGCTCATAAATCACCCCTCATGAAATGGGAAAATGCGTTAAAAGAATCTCCAGAAAAATTTACTGAAGCCAAGCACATCCTCTCACAGCAACACTAGCTGGAACACTGTTGCCAATGGGTTCCTAGAACACTTACATAGCAGGAGAAGCAGTACTACAAGGGGCCCACCCTCCAAAAGATAATTCTGGTTTTGTTTGTTTGTTAGGGTCTCCCTCATATTTAAAGGGACTCACTTCTTTCTAATGCGAACTACGGAGAGTAAGCAGGGGTCAAGCTGAGATTCTCCACAGAGTTAGGGGAAGCACAGCTTGAGGGTACATCTCAGATACTGAAGATGTTTGAGATTTGAAATTTATGTGATAATAAAGATACACGATTTAAAGACATGTTGAGAGGGAGCCATGTGTAAGCCAAAGGTATGACTCTAATGGTAAAAGTCAGACACACCTTGGCTTCTGATTTGGGAAGACTCTGGGGAAGGAATGTGAGTTCACACGTCTTCCTATTGGTCTTAAATCAGTTTCCT